TTCTCATCCTCAGAGACTTCAGCTGCCTTGAGTACCTAACTTTTTCCTCCTCTTTTTCCTTCCTTAAAAAGGGAACTGCAAGGAAAGCTAACCAGAGGTCAGAAGGTAGAGTATGTGGCATGACCTTAATGTAGTTCTTTCTAAGTCATAGTATGTTTTGTATTAAAAAGACCCAAGTAGTCCTTGTGCTCTTCATGCCAGCAGCAGGTTCTAAAACAAGATGACATTCATGGTGCCATCATCTCGGGATTCTTTTGTGAGTTTATGTTGAAAAGTTTGTAGCATAGGCACGTTTGGTCCTTTAACTCTTTGGCTCTACTAACTCTCAATGTTTCTGTACTCTTGTCTTCAGTCAGCTTAGGGTGCTGCTTCTTGCTCTTCTAGGGCCTTCCTTTTGCTTGTGTCTTGTCTTTCCTTGGGGTTTCTATTGCTGTGAAGAGATACTATGACCATGGCAACTCTTATAAAGGACAACATTTAATTGGGGACTGGGTTACCGTTCAGAGGTTTAGTCCATTGTCATTATGGTAGGAAGCATGGCAGCATGCAGGCAGACATCGTGCTGGAGAAGTAGTTGAGTTCTTCATCCAGATCTGAAGGCAGCAGGAAGAGAGTGACACTGGGCCTGGCTTGAGCATCTGAAACCTCAAAGCCCACCTCCAGTGATATACTTCCTCCAACAAGGCCACACCTACTCCAACAAGGCCACATGTAATAGTGCCACTCCCTATAAGCCTATGGGGGCCACTTTCATCCAAATCACCACATTCACTCCTTGGCCCCCATAGGCTTGTAGCCATGTCATAATTCAGAAATGCTTTCAGTCCAGCATCAAAAGTCCCCATAGTCTATTAGTCTCAACAATGTTTAAAAGCCCAAAGTTCAAAGTTTCTTCTGAGATCATGCAATCTCTTAACTATAATCCTCTATAAAATCAAAATGAAAAAGCATTTCACATATTTCCAACATGCAGTGGCACAGGATACACATTACTGTTACAAAGGAGAGGAAAGGGGGCATAATAAGTAAATACTGGACCAAAGCAAGACTGAAAACCAGTTGGGCAAACTCCAAACTCTGCATCTCCATGTTTGATGTGAAAGTACTTTTCAGATCTCCAACTCCTTTCAGGGTTGTTGACTGTAACACACTTCTTTCTCATGGGCTGGTTCCACTCCCCGTTAGCTTTCCTAGGCAGGTATCCCACAGCTCCAGCATCTCCAACATCTTGGCATCTCCAAGGCAACACAGGCTTCACCTTCACAGCTTCATGCAGTGACCTCTCTAGGTCTCCATAAAAGGATGCCCCTGACATATGCCTGGCCTCAGTGGCTTTCCTTAATCAAGGAAGGAGATTCTGTAATCTCTTTCTTGTATCTTTAACTCTAAAGCCAGAACCATGTGACTGAAGCTGCCAAAGTCTGCTGCTTGCTGGGACTGGAACATGACCGCTTGTTCAAATACATTTTCAACAGCTTTCTGTTTTCAGTGGTTTCCTTTGCTGCCTAAGCTTGACTGTCCTGGAACTCACTCTGTAGACCAGGCTAGCCTTCTACTCAGAAATCCAGCAGCCTCAGCTTTTTGAGTGCTGGGATTAAAGGTGTGCATCACCATGTCTGGCCCTAAGTTCTTCTTTAATTCTTTTTCACTTTTCTTTAATTCCTTTTCACAATTTGGAAGCTTAGCTGGGTGGGGTCTTTCTCTGAGGTCACCGCTCCCTTTATTCCACTTAGCATCAGGCTTTTCTTTAATCTCTTTACACTTCCTGGTACTCCTTTTCTCTTCCATTTTTGTATTTTTGTACATTTTGTATTTTTCCCTTTCTCAGCTTACTCCTTTTCATTATAGCTCTGTATAAGTCTGGCCACTAATGGTCACACAACACAATCAATGCTAGGTTGTTTAGAAATGTCCTCTGCCAAAGCTGTTAATCCATAACTCTTCAATTTAGCCTCAGGCAGATTTTTTTTTTTAATAAGGGCAGAAAGCAGACATATTCTTCACCAAAATTTCACAAGATAGATCTTTAGGCCACATATTAATAATATTCTTGTCCTCTGAAACCTCTTGAGCTGGACTCCCAACAGTTCTGATCACCCTCACCACCCCTGTGTTCCATGTTCTTAATTGTATAGCCCATTAAGGCCTACTTAAAGTAATCAATTGCTTTTCTAGTTCAAAGTCCCAAAGTGTTCCTTATTCCTCCAAACAAAAGCATGGTCTGGCCGGTTGTCGAGGAACCCCAATCCTTGGTATGAATTTCCATCTTAGTTAGGGTTTCTGTTGCTGTGAAGAGACACTATGACCATGGCAACTCTTACAAAGGAAAACATTGTCATCATGGTGGGAAGCGTGGCAGCATGCAGGCAAACATGATGCTGGAGAAGTAGCTGAGAGTTCTTCATCTGCATCTGAAGGCAGCAGGGGGAGAGAGTGACACTGGGCCTGGCTTGAGCATCTGAAACCTCAGAGCCAACTCCAGGTGATACACTTGCTTCAATAAGGCCATGAGCCCATCCATGGGAGCCATTTTCATTCAAAGCACTACAATCCTTAAGACTCTGAAATCCCCTCCCCTGCTTCCAGTACTTGGCAGCATGAATGGGTGGTTCATTAGTTGTTGATGTCACTTTTAATGATTTGGAACAGCTAACCATAGCAGTGGCACATTACCATCCTTGATCATGATTTTAATCCGTGTAACTAATTTATTGAAATATTTCCCATAATAGCAAATACAGTGTGTTTGCCACATGCATCATTGGTGACTGTGCTCAAAGGAGACAGATGTCCTTATGGACTTTGTCCACAGAGGTTCTGAAAATAAAAGCTGTCTGTATTATTGGAAGGAGTGTCAAAGGGGCCATTTAGAGGCATACAGAGGCATCAATGATACCTTCTGTAGATAGAGAATTTTAATACTTCTGCTTCAAAGTTGCCATGGTCTTATCCACACTGTCCTCAATAAAACTGTAATGTGGTGCTGAGGGAGATGGGCTGCCATGCTCATTGAGCATGGCCCTCGAGTTCAGCAGATGCCAGTGGAGTTCACAACAGTTCAGTGCCTCTGATGGAAATGAGTCATTTTCTCCAGTCCAGAGTCCATCACCATAGAAGGAACCCAGTACTGATACAACATCAGCAGATGCACAGTGCTTTCTGTTGGCTGATGTCAGGAAAGGCTGCTAGAGGAGGTGCCAGTTTCCGTTTAACACTCCATTATGATAGAAATGTGTCTCCTAGTAACGACGAAAAAGAATCAAATCCAGCAGCCTCAGCGTTCTGAGTGCTGGGATTAAAGGTGTGCATTACCACCTCAATAATATGGCTGCCTAAACAAGACCTGAAGAAGGACAACAGCAACATATATGCTAATATGGAAGGGAAAATCTATGAGAAAATAATGACTGTATAGAGAGGGAGAATGTATCATCCCGAGCAATGGGCTCCCCATTTGGTTATCCAAAACCCAGTGGTCAGCCCTGAAATTGTTTACATACAAACTACACTAAACAGATTCAGCAGGTTGTATTTATAACCAATAATTAAAGAAAAGAGGCCATGAATTTGAGAGGAATTAGGAGGGTATTTGAGAGTTTGAAGGGGCAGAGGGAAGAGGGAACTGATATAATTATATTTTGATTTTTAACAATTGGAAACATAATATCAATTTGAAAAATAAATGTTAGGAAAGTTTGTGTTACTGTCAGAAGTAGGGTTTAAACCTCTTTCCAAAGTCTATGAATTTACTGGATTGCATACTATTAGTGCCTTTTATAACAAGGAATTTAATAGTCTCTACTGTAATCACTAGTAACATGCTAGTTGGGATTTTCCTTTGAGGACACCTTGTATGAAGGGTCTACACGCTCATCTCTGTGTGACTGCTCTGGACTGTAGGCATTACTGTTCTCATTTTACAGCCCTGGAAACTGAGCCTTAGATGGAGTAAACCATTTGGCGAAGATTACACTGTTGTTCGGTAGCTAGGTGTTCTTCACACCTACTAATTTAAACCTATATCAAATTGCACAGCATTTTTCATCCTTTTAAAAGCTTCCTTGCAAAGTGGCCAGCCATATAAAGCCATAGCTGGCCAATGAGCAACCTTCTCTGTGTTGGGTCTTCAGTTTTCTTTTCTAAAGGGAGGTCCTTCCCCAGTTTTATTGCTGCTGGCCAGTTCTTTCTGACCCTGGATTTACGTGGCATTTCTTCCCTCCCCTCCCTTCTTGGTCCACCCGCCCCTCCCTCTGGCTCGGGTAACTCGAAGCCTCTGTCTTTCCTTCAGGTGACTTGCAGCACTGTATGATGGAGCCATGCCATCACTGCTGTCTGCTCTCTTTGCTGAGTTAGGGCTTTGATTAGGAGAGGAACTCACGTGCTGTTCCGACAGTGTCGTCTACCTGGAGCCACATGCTCTTCACAGAAAGTGACCAGTAGTTTCGTTCTTCAGGGGATGGGGGTGTGTTTCTATTACGGCCCTATGTGAAAAGAAGAACACAAAAGCCCTGATCTTAGTTTGTGGGCCCTACCTGTTACAAGATTAAAAACTGAGGTGAAATACTGTTCTGAATGACTTCCTCTTTACAAAAGGCAAGCACTTTGCTGGGCGTGTTCCATTATTGGATGAACACGTGTAGATCACCAGTATTTGATGAGCTCAACATATGGGCAATAAAGAAGTTGTAATCATTAAGTGTTGGATATCCCTGTTGCTAGGACAACACCTTTGTTGGATCAAAGGATGCTGACCATGTCCTTTAGCTTACTTAGCCGTCACTACTACACAGATAGTAGGGGATATTTGATGCTCCTTTAGAAATGAAGAAATGGAGACTCAGAGAGAGAGGAATTATTTTCCCAAGGGCCTGTGGCTAGTAAGTGGTAGAATTTTGGACCATTGGGGTTTTTGTGATTTTTATTGTTATCTCTGTGGTATGTTTCATAGATGTTATTAGTAAAGGCTGTACAACGAATGAGATGTCTTCTCCTGGTAACAGGTGATGGAAATGTACTGGAACACTGGGAGAAGCTAGTATCTCACAGGAAGCCAAGATGACAAGAATCTTTTCAAAATAATCCGTAAGTAAATTTTTGTTAGCTCTTTGGAGTTCTTTCAATGTCTGGATGAATCATTTTTAAGAAGTCATGGCAAAAGGACAGTACAGTCAAGTGACATAAATGTGTAAAAACCGAAAATGTTTCAAAAAGTATCAGGTGGAGAGGTAGCTCAGCGGTTGAGAGCACTGGCTGCTGTTCCAATGGTCTTGGGTTCAATTCCCAGCACCCACAGGGCAGCTCATCACTGGCTGTAACTCCAGTTCCAGGAGATCTGAGCATTTTCTGCTGGCCTCTGAGTCACTGCACAGTGACACAGTGCACAGCCATACATGCAGGCACAACACCCGCACACATAACATTAAAATAAGGATTAAGAAAAGTTTAAAGTAATCTGGACACCTCAGGGCGTGATGCTAACCCGTGAGAAGGTTTGATATTGCATGAGTCTTTCTTAGTAGGACACATCATTTTTAGTTGAGCGCATCAGTTCCGATGGACAGAACAAGAGTGGCAGATGACAGGAGAATTCCTTGTCAGCAGTTAAACTAGGAGTGGTCCCTGAAAAGCGCAGATGGTCTTGCTTTCAGGGACCCCTGGAGTCCACTTCTTTAGGTAGCTCTTTGGGTATTAGAAGTAATTATGAACAAAATTGCTGACTGAGTAAAATTCACTCCGTTGTCCACAACTCTTCCCTCTGTGTCTGTGACACTATCCCTGGAGAGATGTGGCATGACCATCTACTCACCCTTGGTAGGACACCAACGGCAGACCTTACAGACCTAAGTCCCACTTGGTGCACCAATGCATGGACTGGAGTTCCTTGCGGGAGTGTGGTTGAGGAGTTACTTACGGGGAGCAGGGAGGAGTCAAAGGCAGCTGCACCAGTGAACTCTCACCCCAGCGTGGTCCATGATTCACAAAAGCTGGAATCCTGGAGCTCCCTGCATGACTTTGCAGGCAGGTCAGTGTCTTGTCCAGGCAGCTCTATTAGCCTGGGTCTCCTCAGCAGCCCTGGCTGCTTATTCAATTTAGTGTATCTGGTCCATTTCCAGAACTCCTGGGGACTTCTGAGTTGTTTATTTCCTGAGTCTAAATGAGCTTCCCTCTAGAACCCTAAGTCTTAAAGAGCCTCCTTCACATCTTTCTGGGTCTCAATGAGCCTTGGAAGAAATCGTGGCCTTTAATCCCAGCACTCGGGAGGCAGAGGCAGGCAGATCTCTTTGAGTTCGAGGCCAGCCTGGTCTACAAAGTGAGTTCCAGGAAAGGCACAAAGTTACACAGAGAAACTGTCTCGAAAAACCAAAAAGAAAAGAAAAGAAAAATCGTTACACACTATTGTATCTCTGAACAGTTGTTAGTTATCTGACAGTTGCATCTGGCCAATTTCCAGGGCACTGTGATAATAATGCTGGTAATGTTATCACTGCATGTTATAGTGGAAAATTCAGATATATTTAGTCAGGCATTTCTAGGCCTCACTTGCTCTTGTGCCGTTCAGATTCATCTGTGTATTGGACTTGACAATCCCTATTACGACATGAAAGACTGTCCATAGGACTTCCTTGGGCATTACAGGGTCACAATAAATGCAGGTGCTTTCTCTCTGTATACTTTGTATTGTGATTTGCAATTTATAAGCCTTTATTCTGACTCAAAAGATGGGCCAGCTCAAACATGGCAGCCCTGTGAAAGGATGTTGATAAATATTTCAGGTGGTGAAGTCTGGTAAGTCTCAGCACTGTGGTTCTGCCAGGAGGGATTCCAATGCCAGCAGGTTCCTGGGGGTGTAAACACTTCTGTTATACTTGATTTCAGCCTGTCCTATAGAAGTCACCAAAGGCAGGTTTGAAAGTGATATGCACTCCATTATATGGTTTTCTATGAATTAGATGGGGTCGTTGCAACCAGCATCAGGAGCCTAGCTAATGGCAAAATAATCAGGAGGTAATTAATTTTGAGTGTTTATTACCTTTATTTTGGGTATAATTTAAAAATTTTCAAGTTTCTATAATTTTTTAAATTTTTATTTTATTTTTACTTACCTGTATGGATGTGTGTCTCTGTGTGTGGCCACGGAGGGGTGGGGTATTGGATCCCCTGGATCTGGAATTACAGGCAGGTGTGAGCTGCCTGATGGGGACACTGGGAACAAGCTCAAGTTCTCTGCAAGAGCATAAGTGTTCTTATCAACTGAGCTATCTCTCCAGCCCAAGTTCCTCTAGTTTAATTATTACTGTGACCAACTTGCCATTGACCCTGAGAAATTAGCAGTCTGCTGTAGTGCCGTGGTGCAAGCTGGCTCCACCATACCGGTATGGCAGACTCCTATTGTGAAGGTACATCAGAGCCCTGTTCTGCAGTTCCCTGTCGTGGCTGTGTGATGGGAGCACTTCGCTTTGGCTTAAGACAAAAACATTTGGTAAAATCCACAATCTCGTGACCATGTGACTTCTGGGATGGAAGGTAAATGCCAAGACCAATTTTGAACTTAAGTCTCTGTCCTCAGGGGTCCCGCTGGCATTATGGAACTGTGAGCTCAGCTTTGTGGCTGATTCCTGGCATCTCTTGTGTCTTCTGGCTGCTTGGTGACAAGGCTTGGAGACAGATCCCAGCTGCTTTCTACTTCCTTCTGTCTCCTCCCTGTCATCTCTCCATCTGAACTCCTCGGTTGGTGACACCTCCAGGGTCACTCTTGGAGTACCTCCATATACTACATGCGGTTTTACTTTTACTTTTGATTCATAAATTAAGTTTTAGTGGAAAGTAAATTGCTTGCAGAGAGCCAACTCTGAAAGACTTAACGCTCACCTTGGCTCGATTACGGAATCATAGGGAGAAAAGTAGAGAAAAGGGCAGGCTTAGATCATCTGGATCACATGGCTCAGCGTTTCTTCTAGAAGCACTTTCTTTTTCAGTTTTTCTCACTTGCCCTTTAGAAGGGAATAATTGAAGCCTGGAATTGCTAAGTAACGGCGCGGAGATCATGGTGGTTGTCTTTATTTTAAATCTCCACCACCTAGCACTCAAATACTTGTTATTAAGTCATAAAGAAAGAAAGAAAGAAAAAACCTGGGATATTTCAAAGCATTCATTTGTGTTAATTCCCTGAATCCGATTTATATAATCTTAAAACATTCATTTCTCTTATTTCCTCCTAAAAGATATTTATAGTTCACAGTGAATCTGGAGATTATTGAATTACTACAAAATTCATTCTTGTCTATTTCATGTGGAAGCTTATGGTTCAGACCAGAGAGACGTCCTTGGATTATGAATCACCTGACCCTGGGCCTTCCTCAGGATTGAGGGTCTTTGTAACAGAAAGTAATCATGGGGGTAACAATGAATGAATGAAGTATTTCACAGATAAGCACTTAATTTGTTTTATTATCTCCCAGGACAATAAATAATCTCTTTGGTTTCTGAATACCCCAAGTATCACTATAATTCTGGTCAGATCCACTCGGTGTGTGTAGTCTCCTACTGAGTCTGTGCTGCAGCTTAGTGGTATGTTCAGATCAGCTTGCAGCACTTCTCTGGGCACCTGCTCTCATGGTTGGGGGTAAATTTCAGTACAAATAAAACATGCTAATTCCACTTCAAGGGTCAGTGAGGCCTTAACAAAGACAATAAGCATTTCAATAGAAAGTAGTAGATTTTATAAAAGATATATGCAATGTGCAGAGCACAAAAGAAAGAGATTAATTACCCAGGTGTCAAGAGGCGTGTGCTGGATTAGGGCGGGTTTTCAGAGGCAGAGAACATTTGAGTAGAGCATTTGCTAATTAGCGTCTCAACCTAAACTATGAGAGTTAGCATTGCTGATTGGAAAGAATTGTGAAAATGTGAAAATTACTCAATTAAAAACTCATCTTTGAAATACTAGTTCAGGTGCCACTGGGGCCTTGGGTAAATCACAATGATAGTGAGGAAGAAATAGTGAGATGGTGTCTGGAGATTCACGTGATTGGCATGAAGTCTCACGGAAATAGGGGAGCTGCTTTTTAGAGCGAGGTGCCCTAGTTTGCTTCTTGAGGCCGTGCCCTCTCGGCCAGCAGTTCTGCTGTAGTCTTGCCCCTATTGAACATGTCAGCCTTCTTTAGCTATTACCAGCTCAAAAGAGGCATTTAGATAGGAGGTGTAGGACTGATCAAGATGGACCTTCCTTTTTTCTTTAAGCATGTGTCTAACGTTGTCAGAGTCAAGGTGTAGAGTATTCTGAGCCGTGGGGCCAGCTTCTGGGATCCCAGACTGTGACACATATGCTACCCATCCATAAAGAAGCAGGCAGTGTCCTGCACCCCCAGACAACTTCAGTACTTTGTGAACTGTGTTGAGACGGCTGCACTTTTCCGTGTGCTGGCCCCTGATTTCAGGTGCCCTTGCTTTCCGTTAGCCCAACTAATGACCCTCTTCCTCAGCATGTATTATGATCTTATTTACCATGCTCTAGATGTTAAGCTGCCCTTCTCCAATGTGTAGTTTTTCACATCAACAGATTGCCCTGACTCATTCACTGACTTGTGCACATGCTTTTCCTTTCACATAGAAGTCCTTTAATTTCACAGATGACATGTTAATTTATGTCTCCTGTCATATAAATGAGTCAACATATAGTTGCAACAGAATTAAGCCCTTCCCTGGTGGATTGTTTTCTTTGATTTCTCTTTTTTCCTCTGGCCATTGGCTCACTCTTCCATGATGGCTGATGTGTGGATTAGAGTCCATTATTGTTCCTTGAGGCACACCTTTCCTTTGTCGTTTTATGTCACGAGACAACCAGTTGGTCTTGGTTTAATAAGACCTTAATTAGGGTCATTTGGAGTTGACCTCTCCAGGCACACATCTCATGACCTGATACTGCGTCAAGGAGATTTGGTGTACTTTAGTATCCCAGTAACTAGTCCTGGCTAGGTCCATGGAGCAAACCCCGGAGGAACCATAGACTTGTCTTCTAGTAGTCTCTGTGTTTGGCAGGGTACTATTTAGGTTCCGGTTTCTTCAGGACTGAATTCAGCAGT